TCTGTCCACCCCTGCTTCCCCCCCCAGAGAAGGTACCCCCATTGCTGCTGCCCAAACACAACAGGGCACCTGTATCCCTTTTTTGGGGGGGTTCTCACAGGGCAACCCCCCCCAGACAGCACCAAAAACTTCTCCAAAACCTAGAGGTTGCAGTTTGGGGTTGGGGCCACCCAAGCTACGTGGCCCTCAAGAGAAGGAAGTAAAGACCCTCAGCCAAGTAGGATGAACATGACCATGGATGACCAGATGCAAGTGAGGTATGAATGGAGCCCCACCAGGGGGACAATGGAGTCAGTCCTCCTGGGAGCAGTGGGTATGCGGTTGGGGGCTCTCCCCGTGGGTCTGGACACCCCCCAAGGAGATTTGCCAAGTGGTCACCAAGCCATTTCCCATCATTATCCAGTGGCTCTGGCTCGCTGGGGAGGTCCTGGTTGGCTGGAGGTCAGCAAATGTGATGCCCATCCATGAGAAGGGCCACAAAGAGGACCTGGGGAACTACAGACCAGTCAGCGTGACCTCGGTGGTGGGGAAGGTCATGGAGTAGATCATCTTGAGTGTCATCATGTGGCACCTCCAGGACAACCAGGACCAGTGAACGTGGATTCATAGCCAGGAACTTCCAGAAATCCTGGTTTTGATGCAATTTCTAACTTTCACACCAAGCCAGGTGCCGCCGTGGGTGATGCTCCACCGGTCGGTCCTTTTCCCAGGACTGCGAGAAGTTCTTCAGGGCTTCGGGTGGAAGGACCCGCAGTGGTGGGCGGGCAGGTAAGTGACCTTCTGGGCCTGGTGTCTTCATGGAAACGCTGTTTTCCTGGCGGGGTGGGTCCTTGTCCTGGTCCTTCTTCTGAGAGCCTGGCCCAGGTTGGCCAGAGAAGCTGTGGCTGCCCCATCCCTGGAGGGGTTCAAGGCCAGGCTGGAGGGGGCCTTGAGCAACCTGCTCTGGTGGGAGGTGTCCCTGCCCAGGGCAGGGGGTTGGAACTCGATGGTCTTTGAGGTCCCTTCCAACCCAAACCATTCCATGATTCCATGATTCAGGCTCTGGGTGGAAGGGCCCGCAGCGGTTGGAGGTAAGTGACCTTCTGGGCCTGGTGTCCTCATGGAAATGCTGTTTTCCTGGCGGGGAGCGAAGCTGGGGCTGGCGGAGGCGCCGGTGGTGCCGGTGTCAGGCTTTGGTGGCCGGTGCTGAGCCAAGGTGCTTCTTGCTGCAGATGGCGGTGACGTTCGAGGAGGTGGCCATCTACTTCTCCCCCGAGGAGTGGGCCGAGCTGGGGGGCTGGCAGCGGCGGCTCTACCGGGAGGTGATGCTGGAGAACTACCAGGCGGTGGCCGAGCTGGGTGAGGACTCTCTGCGGTGCCGCCGGGGCCGGGCTCCAGCTGGAAGTCCCCTCTGGGACTGAGGGTCTCTCTCTGCCCCGCACAGGCTGGTGCCCCGTCAAGCCGGAGATCATCTGCCAGATGGAGCGAGAAGAGACGCCGTGTGTGCCAGACCCCCCTGGGGCACGGCGCAGCCGCGGGACCCCTGAGCCAGGTGGGTCTGGGGGGGCTGCAGAGCTCATGGGAGGGTCCCACAGGTGCTC